ATCTACTCGAAAGAACTGATTCCATTGCTCCTATAGCTCGAAGAACAATGAGTGACAGACAACCCTAGCTACCCCACCCTAACTTAACTAGAACTCTGTGAGTGTGCTGCCTTGATATAGGTACCCTATGAAACTTGAGAGTCATGCGCGATTAGCACGATTAATGGTGGTTTTTGACAGTGTAAGATCACAACACTTTTTCACTGGCATTACTCCAGAGTATCTATTAATGTCAGAAACAGAAGATATCACGTGTGCATAAGCAGAAACTAATCCTTACCGTAAAATACTGGCTCGCATCCGGTGAAATTGATATATTCCAAATTGCAACAGGAAACGGTAGAGCATTTTGTAAACGAACACTACGCTTATGAGGAGCTTTGATATCTTCTTGCAAGGCAAGGTCATTACCGACCGAAACGATATCTCTGAAATTTGTGGCGATTCAAAAAAGTGTAACTTACAAAAGGAAGAAGAAGGAAGGTCGTGGCGGTCGCTTTGAAGCATACAAGCGCCACTATATGAGTCTCAAAATGAGCCCTAATCCGTCTCAATTTCAAATCTGGTAAGATTTCTAAGGAAGGATACTAAGATGAGGGGTCTATCCCACATGCTGCAGTACGAGGAATGCCCAAGCACAGTGTACAGCATCGTGTGAAAGACGTAGGAAGGTCGTACTTTTCCGCTGGGGAGGGGGAGGGGGCGTATTTGGTGGTTGTTGGGAGAGGCGGGTTAGTCGTATGTGGCTTTGAGACAAATTTGCCGCGTTGGGGAAAATTTGTCAGTGGGACTTCTCGCGGCTCATTGTTCCATGTTCAAATACCCACTGCTGCTCGACAGCAGCAACATTTGTGCGGAAAAGTAGGAATAATTTCGTGAAATTCCAGAAAAAGTGGTAGGAAGTCGGGGAAAATCTGAGAAATTTTCCCGCTCCACATTGGCTATATACGCCCCTCTCTCCACTCCTCCGTCGACGGCAAATTTTTGCAAGTGAAAACTGGACTGCCAAAAATGCGGGGCAATCGGTAGGTAAGTGTTAGGAAGGGGATGGGTTCGTACGGGGTCCTCCCCTCAGGGTGGTGGGGGGGGATTGTACCAAACCAGTCCCTCGACAGGGGAGGTCGTACCGACACCACCATTTCACACAGTACGATGCTGTACCCTGCCTAAGCATACCAGAACACAAAGGTTTCACGGAAGAAGTCGGTAGCCGACCACCCTATAATCAAATATCTTTTAGCAGACAATATTTCAGCTGAAAGGTCTCTCTGCCGATATCGACTCAATCTCAACACAATCTTTTCAGTAAATATGTGAGTGCTGACAAACTATTGTAAGCAAACCAACGCAACTGTGTGGGTGAATCGCGAGTGTTCCCGTATCGTAAGTGTTTAGAAAACATTAGAAAACTTTCCAAGAAAACAATATGATAAGTTTCAAATCTTGCCCGAATCTTGGGTTTTTTAATCAGAACTTTCCTTGTGATGAAAAAAACCCCAAATGAATGCAAATTACGAACCCTTGATAAACGGTGACACGGAATGGCATTGTGACGTTATAGTTTCCACCACGACTTAGGGCAATTATTCGCCCATGAAACGTTCGAGCACTAGGTAGTTGCGATTCGAATGTTATGCGGGATGCGTCGAAGAACACTTTCACAAGATCTGACGGTTTACCTTAACATTTCCATTACAGTGCTATATTAAATTCCTCAAAAGGACAAGAAGTCTTGCATTTTCAGAATATAAGCAAATAACGTCGAATTCCGAAGTGATGCACAAGACTCAAAATAAAGAGCCTGTTTGCTATTCAAAGCACTCAAACCTGGTAATGAATTTTTTCCTGGTAATACCGCAATCGGTGGAGTAGAAGCGAATTCCATATAAATGCCTGTGGGATCTCCTTTATCTACGTACAGTGTCTATAAAAACACGATTTATTACTGAAAGAAAACAGAAAAAAAAGAAAGCAGCTCAAGAGAGGAAACTGCACAAACTCTAATTCTAATTTCCATTCAGGCAGTATGATAGACCGAAAACATCTGAGGCTGTGACCTTTCACCCTGCCTAAAACACGTGAAAATGAGATGCTGCTACTAGAATCAAAGGGGAGCATTACAAGCCGTACGTTGGAATTTGAGCAGTACAAATGAGGAGTTCACACTTGACCTGGTGAAAACCTTCTAAATCGGTACTTTTGTCACTTCACGCGCTTATTTCTTGCGCACTATACACCACTCACGGATCTCAACACTACCTGCCTTTCTGCAAGAATTTCCTCAATTCGGCATAAAGAATGCCAAATACATATGTCAGATTGCGAACAGCGCAGAGAAAACTGTGTGACAGAGCATTGCTGTCACGCGGCTGCGATCGTGTTGCAACGGAAGCACGGATCGCAAACAGGAAGGATATTTAGCGATGGTGCTACCCTGGAGGGAATGTCTCTCTCTAAGTCTAATTACCTGCATGTCGAAATGCAAAAGCAAATCTTCCCATTCTTAATTTGGAAAGTGTGGAAAAATCAGTCATCTTACCTTAAAAGACCAAAATCCAGTATGTCCTTAGTTGTAAAAACACCTCGCCGTTTATTTATTTCTATCGGAATCGGAAGCACATTTGAGTGTTGCACGCCGTCATTGCTGAAGTTAAAAACAAGTGCTCTCACTGACGTTTCGGTAAAATAATATCGCTTCCCTTCTTCGCCCATCCCCCACCACACTACAATAGAACAATAAATTTCGCGGGGGAAACTAACCCATCATGATCAAGAAGTAATCCTGTGAATCGAACGAAAGCGGTAGTATTCTCCAAGGTGTGACCGACAATGACGGCGCGACAGACTGTTTTAGTTTGAAATGGACGAATATCCTGAAGGAAAACGTATACTGAAAAATGAGAGACTTCCAAAGCATAGTCGCAATTTTGCTGCATATAGCCAGTTTCCGCATTTCCCCAGCGCAGTTTCTCACAAAAACGCTAATATACAAAAAATCATAACAAATACGAACCCAATATTGAAGTGGTTCTCCTGCTACTTTCCCGTCTATATCATAGGCCATCTCGACATGCACATTACCACCAGACGATACTACCTGAAGAACTTTCAGATAGGAAAGAACAATGAGTACAACTGATGGCTTAAGTTACCTCCGTAATTCTGAAAGTACTAGTGAATGGATTGTGAAGGACAATATCTTTAGAAATTGTGCCGTTGAACGGCAAACGAGTACCAACGAATGGTGCACATGCCGATAAGGATTCGAGGAGAGCGACCAGAAGCTGAAAAAACTATTTCGACTTACAGATAGAGATTAATTAATATATTTTGAAATCGCGGTAAACAATATTTAAGACATTCAGTTGGCTACAGGACCCGTAAATCTTAGAGGGTGCGACCGCAATAATGGTTTTCTTGCTTGATTTCAAGAAAAAAAACGAGCCATCGGTAACACTATAAACCTGGTCAGCTGGTCCGGTTTGCACGATAGAGGCTGTTCCTAACCGTAAAAGACAATCAAAGTCCAATCCAATAGGATCATAAAGATATATAACAGCCCGTATCGGAAATCGCAAAGTGTTGCGGCTCAAATTAGAAAGAAGTGAGAACCTTAGCATTGTCAGTAAGGAAGAGAAAGATTAAAGAAATAGGAACTTCCTCAAAAACTTAAAGAAAGCCTAGTCCACTGACGAGCTAACATTCAGAGCTCTTGCCACCTATCTTCTTTCACGGTCAAATAGAATGTGCAGGTTGGTGGCGTCGGCGCTCCAGCAGGCATTAGCATCGGGCAGGACTTGCATAGGACTATCTACCGCGTTGGAATTGTTAGCAATACTCTTTACTATCCCGGCATGAACTTCCGGCCAGATTTTGACCGGAAATTTTCTGCGCGGGTAGCTCAATAATTTGGTTTCCGAGGCAGTTTGAACCCAAGCAAGCTTGGATATCACGTCAGTTTGGCTGGATGCCGCTCCGCACATTCGCTCAAATCGCCGAGACAAAACAACCGACACACAGAACTTTTGAAAACTTGTTCCCAAGAAAATTTTGGCCTCCTGACTATGAAAATCACACAATATCACCTGATATGAAAACGCTTTGAACGTGCGCTGGGGAAAACCACCTTGTGCCGCTCGCTGGCAGGGACGCCAAGCGTTTTCATCCCATATGAAAGTAATAATCGCGTTCAAAGGGTCAAACCATCCTTCCCCCCAGGATCAACTTCTGGCTAAATCTAATTCAAGAGAGAAATTCCGATTGAAATCTGTCTGGTTTTACGAAGAGTGAGACAGTAAAGGTAAAAGGTGTTTCTATCTATGATGATAAAATAGGGAAAGCGCTAGTTCATTATATGAAGATTCCAACGGAAGTGCGTATGTTAATGGCAACGCTTGTCCGGCCTTCCTCACGAGGAAGAAATACAATCTCGAAAAATGCAGTACCAAGAGGAGCGATTTCCTAGAAATGTGGAGCCTCTCAACGTGAGTTCAAGAAGTTCACTCTATAGACAAGAAAAATGGGTTGATTCCAAGATCTGGGACTTACAACGGTGTTGAAGAACGATATGTGAAAATTCACTGTAGCTCCAGCAATAGAATCTAGTGTAATAGGCTTCTGGAGCAGGCTTCTAATGAACACACGTCGTTTCACAGAGTGACCCACAGCACTGGAAAACCAGCAATGTAATTTCGTTCAGAAAGAAATATGATGAGAATCAACCTACTTGTCGCCGAACTCGACAAATGGCGGATCAAACGCGATCGGCATCGTTTCGTCTCCATGCAACTTTTTGACGTTATATTTCTTCTCTCTGAGCAAAAACATATTAAGAGGAGGGGAAAACAGACGAAAGACATCACACACACTACTTAACCTTGCTTTGTGCCTCGCTTGGCAGTGTCAGTTTGAACCTGTGACCGACTACCATTTCTGTTTCAAATCTTCCTGACTTCGTGAAGTAGTGAGTTCCTCCCCGGTCTGGACGAACGCAGTTTATGTAGGCGACTTTGGCAGTCGTTCTATCGAAGGTTTGAACCCGCCGCTTTCCCATGGCTCACCCTGAAATATTGCGCATTATGAAGACTAAGAACAAATAACTTCTTAGAAAAAGTGCATTGAGTTCTTATTTATATACGCCAATAAGTAACGAAAGCAGGCAGATATACCGGACAACAAAAGCGATTAGGCTGCGTTCATACTTTGCGACACTGAAGAATCGGCGAGAGGGAGAAGGAGAACTGAAGAATACGCGAGTTCAAAGAAAGCACGCTAAAGGACTGAAGTTAAAGGGTTAAATGGAATCGATCAACCCCACCCACCAGTCAAGGAACGCGCACATCGTTCCATTCCCCTGTGTCACAACGTATAGTCCTGGCTCCCTGGGCTCTGAAACGGCGTTTGACCTGGATGGGTTTGGCGCAGAACAAAACCGTTTTCACCAATCCTGAAGTGAGCAGGCGACAAGGCTGTATCATATCGTTCGTATCGGTCGATTTCCACCGACTGTGGCCCATTATCCGCTTTAACAACTGGTGGATTACGGGTTGGCAGCGCGCCGGACTCATTCCGCCGGACACTCCCCTTCCTTCGGAGCGGACCAGACTGTATAGTCCTGACGTTACATCTGGACCAAAGATAGCAGGCTCCCTGTTCCCATTTTCGACGTCAGTTGTGCCATCATAAGAAGTAATCTAGAGCCATCTTTCCTCGCTCGTGCCGCATGTCAGGCCTTCTTCACAAGTACCCTATTTCTATGAGGCGCACATCTGTACCGCACCGAGTGTCAAGAGCATTCCTTCTTCACCATTCTGTTGCCGGTTTTGTCTACCAACTTTTCGCGCGCTTTTTCCCGCTTCAGAAAACAAAGTCCCATCAACATCTCCGTCATTCCTTGACCAAAACTTACCAAAACCCATACTTTTTAACGACGACACTAACTCTCAGTCATGAATTATATTTCTCTATTATATATCGCTCAATGTTTCTCCTAACCTATCACTTGGATTTCGTCAGCGGTCATGCAAAATCGAATACTGCCTATACAGCGCACATGTGCGCATAATCTACTTTTACGATCTTTCTGTATGGTTGCAGACGAGACACGTTCAACTTCTTGACTTCATTCATCACCGCAGTTCGACAAAAGCAAAAACACCAATGAAATACGAACAAAAGCGGGTCAAGTTCCGCTAAGGCGAAGATCCTGCTCATAAGTGTTTTGTGATAACTTTTACCTGACAAGGGAATGGTTTGAACTTCCCATGGAACTTTGAAAGGAGACCTAGTACATCGATAGAGCCTTGACTCTTAGACGACTCTATCCTCTGCTCTTTTGATGCATGAGCGAGACACTGGCACGCACACTCTATTTCCATCCCCATACTAATGAACTTCTCTCTCACAGGTTCTCCAGGGACCACATTGACCTTCTACAAGCCTTTTGCAGTGATTACCGGCCGTTCTGTTCATTTCCACGCTATCCCCTCAAGTGGCACAGAGTTCTTCGAATTCATCGCACCACCGGACAACGTAACGGAAGCTTTGGTGTGACAATTTTGTTCTCGGACGCTGTTTCGAGATTTCGAACTCGAACCCGGAACCGCAATATTGGTAAAGCAATCAAACTGTTTCCTGCCTGACAACTCCCTATAACACTACGCCTATGAGTCTGCAGCTGAATATGTCACGTATCAGGGCTTGGATACTACGTTACGTGGTAGCTCTGACACTTCACTGACACAACGTTTCATTACCCTAGACCACGTCTAGTTCTCGGATGAGCTCTGAACTCAGTTCTGGGGGTTAGGAACTCCATAGTGGGCGAACCAGTTCGTTTATGCAAAAGGTTGCAAGCTGAATCCAACGTGAGTCGTTCACCAATCGAACTCCTCCCACTTCGTCGGCATGTCAACGATGTCGTGACGTCTCAACAAGTAGCATTAACATATTGGACCTACATATTGGACTGCGGACCTATACCAGACTAGTGCTCTTTCTATATAGAATACAGGGGCCCAGCGTCCTGAATGGGGAGATTTTATTGAAATAAATACTATTCCTCCCGATTGCTCCTTCAGTGGTATGCAAAATTTCGCCAAAAATTGCGCCAACGGGGTAGGGGCGGCACACGGCCCCTAGTGAACTTGCGGCGATATTTACCAGGAGGTCCCGCCTTACAGAGAGAGGAAGTGGACGTGGTTTTCTACATCATTTTGGACCTGACCGCAGTTGCGCTTTTAGTGAAATATTGCCGTTTTGAGACAACTGCAATCATACAAGGTAGTTCGCTGCGGACGATTGGGCGTGTCAGTGCGGCTGCGTTTGGCGCAGGTGCCAAACTCGTTCTCCACTAGTTGTTGAAACGAGCCAAGCTGCAATATGACTGCTATCACATCATTTCGTCATTTACTCGCTTTTACCACCACGTTGTCGCGATGCGCGCCCTTCAACAAGAGGGCAGGAACGGCTTTTGACAATACACTCATGCTGCTGACCACGCCCCCAACCGTCCGCATGTGTATAAATGAAGCGCGCGGCCACGCCCTCATCCTTTTTGAAGCTAAGAACTTATACTGCGCGCCGTGGAAGAAACTTCCCAGGCAAAAAAGGCCCGCTTCCCTCCAGCGACCAAGTTTTCTCTTTTTAAACTGCCCAATCTACGACCCGCTCTGACCAAGGATATGTCTTGCATTAACACAGAGAAAATAATGGATGGAAGTCATTATAGCGATGGTCCCGCTGAAAAAAGAAAATAGCAATAGCAACAAAAGAAAACATGCCTGATGTTCCAATGTGGCGAACACAGTAATAGAATACAGGAAAACTAAGTACATAGTGGTTAAGAATTTAATGTTCGGCATCGCGTAAATTGATTTCACTACAGCGAGAACATCTATCTGAAACAACGATGATCACATTCCATTCAAATGACGTAACCTGCATGGGACATCAACGACAGCAACATTACAATAGTTCAGTATTTAAACCACCTCATCAAAAATAAGAAGAGGTGAGCTTCGAGCAAAACAGACTAGAAAAAACGAAAATCATAAAAGAATTGAGTCTTCGCCGTTGATCCTCGTTGATCAATCCATTGTGTGGCGGAGTGTGCACGCGTTCTTTTTTCACCACAGGAATCGTCGTGGCTTATAGGCGCACCGCTATCGTCTGTGCATGATCACAACGGGGTAGGTGGAGGATCGTATATTGGCCTGAGGAAATTTTTTACACCTGATGTCTTTCGGACGCCATATAAGCGGGGGGGCGTCGTATTTTGGTTTTGTGGAGAGCGGAGCTGTCATAAGATCTATACATACCACTACTTTCCCGTTAATTGGAAATAATGGTTAAAATCCTGACGACCTACCCTCTCCCCCCCCACCCGCTCAACGCGAAAATTTTCTCGGCTGAGTAACGGAAAAAAAGTCTGGTAGGAAGTTGGGAAAATCTAGGAAAGTGGTAGGTAGCATGAGGAAGGGGGCCGTATTTGAAGATGGAATTAGGGGGGGTCGTATTATCCAGGAAATGATCACATGCCGTGCCGATGGCGTGCCATGGGCTTACAGTGCCGATGCTGGCCTACAAACGACGTGCGGGCGGGGCAGCCATATGTACAGCCATGGCCTGATCCTCCGCGACCACATCTACGTACCGAAGTACTGTTCCTGGAGGGGTGGAAGTGGGCTGAGGGTAAAGGGGCCTGGTTGGCCTGGGCGGCAGTCGACCAAAATTTAACACAGGATCGAGCGGCGGTAAGCGCGCCACTTGTCACAACACTACATCCGCCTGGTCATTTGTTTCCACATTAATAATTATTACAAGGTCTCCTCTTGAAAACAGGTTGAACTTCTCTGCTCTGCGGTCTCGAGTGTGCGTCCGTCGCCACGAGACCTAGTTCGGAAGATGAGATCTCGAAAAACGTCACCGGGAAAAGCAGCGCCAGTTTTCCAAAACAAGAAGAACAATGGCAGGATGACAGCAATTCTGCAAGGTTCTGCCAGGAAACGTCACTTTTTCATGGCCTGCAACGTCTTGTCTTTTTGAAAGACACTGGAAAATACCGGCAATGCGCTTAAATGGATTTCGCCCACACACCACTGCGTTTGCGAGTGATAGAATTAGTGTCCTCACTAAAAGAACCCCCCGAAACTCAGCAGGAGACATGCGTACGAAGTCTGAAAACTGCGAAGAAAATCGAAATCGTTTAGTAATCTTCTCGCATCAAGACGACCCGGCTGGCAATATTTCGCAGCTAGGAAAAGTACACTATAAAAAGTTAAGCGAAGATGAGAAATGGCACCTTTCTTCTGAAGGAAAGTGAAAGGGAAGAGAGAATACTTCTCCGAAATAAAGTGAAAGTGAAAGAGAGAAAGTGGAACCAAACATTCAAGATTACAGTGATCACACAAGAACCCAAGCTGGAAATGACTGTAAAAATACACTTTACAGCTTGCCCCACTATCCAATACTTTTTTTGGTTATATTAAGTGCTGAAATCAATAGCCGCGGTTGTTTGAGCGAACGAGACAGCACTACACCGGTCTCAAGTCGAGCTGAACATCTTCTTACTTCAATTTCAATTACCGAGGGTAAGAACAAATAAAAACGAAGGGGAAGGGGTGAAAATGAATAGTGTGTGATTTTTTATGTAGCTTTCTTATCAACTTAAAGTTAGTCAAATGTGTCGCAAAGCCTTAGAGAAACGCATAGCGTGCGCTGTCGAGTTATGTGTTCTTGCCTGTAGGTAGCGACAAGCGAACCAGAGCAAATTGAGGGATCTCAACTGAAATAAGGCGGAAAATTCTTCTTACCCAGAGCTGTTACCCAAAGCCCTTTCACGACGACTCTTACAAATTTCAAAGTGCGAGCCAGTCCGAACTGAAGTCTTCAGTGAATTTCTCATAGATATCTGACCACAGTGCAAAAAACGTATCTTAAAAGGAATGATCAGCAGCGATAGCTTTACCATTCTGAGAGCGCTTTCATGCTTCGCGATCTGGCAGCTTTGATCGAGCGCGAGTGAAACTGGTCGCTGACTTCGTGCAATCGCAGCGACTGAATCGCGAAGTACACTCGCTGAATCCGCGATACTTTGTGTTCAGCGTTTAGAGCGTCCGAGCGACTGGAATGTATGGATATCGGTCTAGCTTTTTGCGTAAGCCAGCGTTTTCAGCGACGGCCCACCCAAAGTTCAAAACGGCTCGCGAAAACGCTCAAAACGCCGGCGTATGCTCGTAAGGCTCAAAACGCTGGTATACGCTCAAAACGCTGATGCAAAGTATGAACGCAATCAAGGATTTACCCTAAGGGAAAATTACCTGAATAACTACACATATCAAGTGAAACAATCAAGTAAGCTAGCCTAACAGCAAATACCAGGACATTCCGTCTTTGCGGCTTCCATGAAAATAGCATCACGTTATCAAACGTTATCAGTAACTGAACACTGGTGCGCAAGTACCTTCAAGTTGCTCACTATTTGTAGGACCACATGTTACGGGCATTTTGAAAAATGGGCCATCTGGGAAGAAATTATGAAAGTCCGCTTGCAAGGGAAGAAAACACTTTATTTGACACTTCAATGTTGCGGAAAAAAACATTCGTTCTCAAGATATGAATCCACAACAAGTGTTCAAGTGAATGAGCAAAACCAGGTCTTGGCATTTCAAACCTGAGCTTGTCCTACGCTGTGTGGGAATCTCCAGAGGGTTTCACTCCAATCTCAATGGGGAAAGGAGGGCGGGTCCTATTTGCGCCTTCGTCGTTGGGAGAGGTCGCAACTGGTGAGAAAGGAGAAAGGTGCCAGCTTTTGTTCTAGGTGAAGGCTTTATAGCGAAAGTAGCGGTCTGGTTCGCCGACCGTAAATAAAGAAATCATAGATGCTTTGCTGCTCATTAACTTATAATCATTCCGCCAATGAAAACTCTCGCTGTTGCAGACCGTTTGCGTGCATCTTGAATGGGTTCAGCGGAGGATGAAGAGAAACTTAAGAAGCAAATCAAAGCTGAGGCTAACACAAAGACTTTCAGTGGCTGGCAGCTCTCATAAGATATGGAAAACAAGGAAACGCAGTGAGAATCGATTATCAGCATGACATTGAACCGCGGATGTTTCGGGGTCATGGCTCTCCTTGTGCGCTCTCTACACAACTGAAGGTTGAGAATTATCGTCGCAACTTCACCACGAGGCGAAAACCTCAGGGAATTCCAAATAAGCTTTGTTAAGGGCTGACAGAGAGGACTGCACGGAGTAGCAGAGACGACAAAGAAGGAGGTTTTTAAATCACACGTGTAAAAATTGTCGAGAAAAGCTACTGGAGGGTAAAGTCGGCGACGTCACAGGTGGCCTTCCCCGACCAACGCGGCGCATTCGGCCACCGTGGATGGAACTGCAAGTCCAGATAAAACGAGATTTTGCGCTACGCTCCGCATGTCTCTACGTAGAGAACAAGCGAAGAATCGATTCATTTATGGGAGAACCCCTAAGACTGGGATTCGCCTATGGATAATCGGAGAGCAGGATAAAGAGACTATAAAAAATGAAAAACGTGTTCGTGAAAAAGACGGAAAAATCCGCCAGGACTTGAGGAACGACGACAATCAGTATCCACTTTTGTAATACGCTAAGGGAAACGGATCATCTGTGTTGTGGAGTGTATTCCTTTCCCATGTTTGTTTTTCTTTGCTTTTATTTGTACATCACGTCCCACACCTCCTGAGCCCCCACCCCCACCGGCTCCTTCCCGAGCTAAGGACACCACATTAGTTGCAGAGATAAGGTTTCACAGATAGGTTGGTACTATTCAATATTAGTACGCTTCAAAAACATCAAAAGGTCAGGAAGAAAAAGCCGCTGGAACTCTGCCCTATGCGGTGTTTTTCAATGCCGCCCTGCCATGATTATGACATTTGTTTTTGGCACTGAGCCATCAGGCACCACCAGATGCCACCGGAATCGGTGTGGGGTTATTCTCTGCTGACGCCATTAGGCAGCGTTCATAGCTTGCGACCATGAAGAAATGCAGAAATGCAGAAATGAAGAAATGCGGAATCTGCGGAAATGACGAAAAGTATTATATACATATCGATTTGAAGAAATGCAGAAATGCCGAAACCGCAGACGTGCGGAATCTGCAGAAATGCCGAAATGAAGAAATGCAGAAGTGCGGAAACTGAAGAAGTGCGGAAAGTGCAGACATGCGGAATCTTCAGAAATGACGAAAAGCAACCGATATACCGATAAATCGATACCGATACGTATCGATTTTCCGCATTTCGGCATTTCTTCAGGTTCCGCACTTCTGCATTTCCTCAGATCGATACGTATCGGTTGCTTTTCGTCATTTCTGCAGATTCCGCACTTCTTCAGTTTCCGCATTTCTGCATTTCTTCGCGGTCGCAAGCTATGAACGCGGCCTTAGGCGCCTATTTAGCGCCACACCCTTTTCCACCAAAATCTATAGAAACTTGAAGATTATTTGATGTTCCGATCATGAATATGGCATGCCTTTCTCGACACTGGCGCGATTCAGCACTCTCTTATGGCTGAGCTTGGGAGAAGGAGAGTGCATTCCCTCGCATCACACGCCCACCGTTCAGGATAGCCTTAGCAGAGCGCAGATGATCGTAGAGTCTTCCATTAGTGTTCAATGTTGATCAAGATGTCAAATGGCCCCCGTACAAGTTTTCATCGTTTGGCTCCGGCGCTAGTGGCGCTGACTCTGGGCGGTTTTGGGGCTGAGCGGGTACGATATTCGGTTTAAGGGGTCGAACTATTCCTTGAGGAAAATTTTCAGCGAATGAAGCCTCACAGTAAAACGTCGGTAAAAAAACTGGCCTGATTTCGGAAGGTACTACTATTTTGGGGTACTAGTTGAATAGTGCCCAATATTTGCAAGAAACCAAAAACACTTATGAAATGAATGAAAGCAAAACTGTAGCGTGTTAATAGTTAAGAATTAGGAAATCTGTGGACGCTCGGAGCCGAAAGTGAAGGAAAACAAAGCAAGGTCAAGGCTACTGATCACAGATCACAGCCCAGCGATCGGCAGAACCACGCTAAACAAGCAGCTAAAGGAGTTGGGGGGGGAGGGTAATTGTTTGCAGACAGCCAACGCAAACTGTCGCAAATCGTTGAACGGCAACAAATCGAACATTGCGCACAAAGCCAAAACAGGCGTTCAGCATTATAGCCAACAACCAACGGGCACTTGAGGTACGTATTGGTAAAAAACAATTTCATCACTAAGATGACGTTAAGAACTTCATAAACAACGTAAGAGGAATAGAAAACAGGCGATTAGTTCAGATAACGTGATCGGTTCCCAGAACGCCGATCGATGGAGAAACTGGTTTTGTAGGTTGCGCACAGCGGTGGTTCCACAATGATGATGACGACGGCAAACGCCCAACAAAAGTGAACGCCATGAGAGCCGTGGGGGATTCAACGGAATGAATGACTGATTATAGAGCAAAAGGTGAATAGGAAACAAGTAGGTGAACCTTCGCAAACTATTCAGCAAACAAAACCTTCACTTTGAAACGACAGGCATGTCGTCTGGCCAGCCAGTGCAGGGCTATGGTGGCGAAATCGAAATTTTCCTGGTTTTTTCCACGGTACTTTTTCTCGGTTAACGACTAACCATGATGAGGAGAATCGTCCGCACAATTCGTAGATCGAATCCTTTAGACCAACCATTCCTTCCTTGCGAACCCGCTTCATCAATACTAGTTAGAAAAGAACCTGTTAAAGGAGAATGATAACGCAGAACTCACCAGCTGGCTTCCACAAGTTTTCATGTACTCACACATAGTGCGTCCCGCACTCCGGGCACAAGCGGAGAGGGCGCAGTTCGGCCAGGGGGGTGTTTTTGTAAAAACACTGCAAACGGACTGGGTCATTTTGGGGAAACCTGTAAACTCTTGTAAAGTACGAAATTGTGCGAGGCCATTCTCCGCACCGTTCCTCCTCTTTCCCATGTTAAATTGCGACTAGTGCAGGAGGGTACGAGGTACGGTTGCAACCATTGGACGAGAATTTTAGGCTGAACCCTTTATTGAAGGGAGAAGCTCCAGAGCGTGAAACTCAACCCAGGCAAAAAGTCCTCCACACACCGGCAACCGAACAGCTCCGCCGAGAGCTTGGTAAATATATAGCAGTTGATCTATACCAGCCTGTGAGTGTTCTTGATTAGGCTGCGCTCATACTTTGCATCAGCGTCCCGCAGCGTTTCGAGCGTATGCTAGCGCGAGCAAATAGGAAAGTATAAGATATCGATCTAGCGAACACCAGCGTCCACCAGAGTAACAGCAGCGTTTTCGCGGGTACTTCTGAACTTGAGCAAAACTGCCCGAGAAAAAGCTACTGTATGCTAGTAGACGCTGGCGTTCGCTAGATCGATACCTATACTTTTCGAGACGGTGGTAGACACTGACGGTTGCGTTAAATACCGTTCCTTAGACGGCTTGCGCTGGCGTACGATTTGGAAACCCTGCTGTGGGCCTGCTGGACGGCTAGAATTCACCGACTCCAAATTTCAGGTGCTTTGCAGTATTTACGTTAGGTGAAATTATAGTCTCGTTCGTTGCGGATGATTGGGCGTGTCAGCGCGGCGGCGTTTGGCGCGCCGATGAGCGTTTTTTACTTTTCTCTGTCGGCGACAAAGACTATATAATATCGCTCGTATAAGTTGTTTTCCACAAGCTTTTGTCACCTACCCTCCTCAGAAATGGTAAAGAACGGGCTACCAGCGCGCCAAACCAGCCATGCGGACACGCCCAGATTCATCGCAGCGAACTGGACTGAGCCAGGGCATGACGCAAAAAGGAACTGCATCAGATAGAAAAACGCATCTATTTAGAGCATTCGATCTTGAGCCAGCTACTGGAACGCTGTTTACGTTCTTAAATCCAACCTTTTCCCTGATCTATTCTAACTGAGGAACGGGAACGATTACTGTGCAGCACGTGTGTCTACGCTCATCGACTAAGGCCACTTAAGGACATAAAACGCTTCCCTGGCGTAGAACCCAGAAATCCTTGATTGTATGAGGCTAGTATGATATACTGAGGCCAAACGGTCGCCTGGTAAGATGTGAACCACTTCTCTAGTCCATTTCCACAAAGAAAAAAATTCCGAAATGAGAGATAAAGAAGCCCGAAAATGGCCGGAAATGCGTCAAATCGGCACTTATCCCTAGTTCTACGAAACTTACTCGTTTCCACAAGGGGAAAACTTCTATATTTGATTGCTCGGGCCTCTTATGCGGAAATTCACCAGAAAATGAGCGAAAAACGCAATCGATAGTTTCAGCGATTTCCTCACCTTGTTCGGTAAGGTATGGGGTAAAGAGAAATCGAGACCAGCTAGCGCATGATCGAAAGACCACGATTAGGGCGACCACGTGGCGACCGAGTCACAATAAATGAACGACAAAAAGAGACTCAAAAAGCTCATACCAACGAGTATCGGATATAAGAAACAGCAGCAACATTTCATCAATAGCATAGAAATACTCGGTACAATCTAAAACTTCAGAATGGTTGAAATTGGAGGGTGACATTAGCAACTGCGCAATGTGGCAGGGCAGCCATTGACAGAACAGGCGCAAATCGCCGACGGGCCACAATAACGCACCCATTTCACTGCCTCGGTGGTCAAAGGACAGCAGTCGGCCAGACACAATTTTCCAACTTTTGAGAGTAATCTTCAAACATTTTTTCCGAATATCGCAGTACAGGAAACTCCTTCTACACGAATAATGGTTTGTCTGCCTCGAAGATCTTCCTGCTCCGACTTAAATAAGGACCTTTGGGCTCCCTGGCTTACAACTAGTTTCTCGTACTTTCCAACACTAAATGCCGATCCAATATATAGAACGAGAAGCTGCAAAGAAGCTGGGAACCCGCCGCATGGGCCACCCCCTTGCACAACTTGGCTGGTTACCGTAGCGCACGAAGCTATTACACCAACAGGTCCACTTCTCATTGAATGGCGCTCGTGCTTATTTCGTCTTCTGGACTACGACCATTTGCCGTTAAAAGTTAAGCTGTTTCGGTCTGTGTCATCATTCTCCTGGAGCAGTTCTTTCCCTTTAAAGAATTGCATATCGAATAGCCGCACCAGCCCTTTTGTTCTCTTTTCGTCTTCGTCCCCTTATTCATTGTTTTTTTCCAACAGGAGCAGTACGAGGTCTTTTAAAGCATATTTAGAAAAGAAGGTAGCCCCTCCGTATGTTTTTGTGATAACTTAACATCTCAAGAAAGTCAATCAGTCAAAAGCTCACCGATAAAGTGGCGAAAATACATGCCATTTCAACAGCTAAAGAAACGTCGAACTTGTCAAGTGACGAAGAACCAAACTGTTCATGGGAATCACGCTAAAAGAGTGTTCAAGATCTTTCGTTTTTATAAGAGAGCATTCGAAAAGTAACGTTTTGTGGCATTACCCGAGGTTAAGCCCGTTAGTTCCGCGATGATGTATTACACGTCTCTATTCATCAGCTGATTCAGGTATTTGAACTCATGCGAAGATCGCAGTTCCAAAATTCAGAGGACTCCATAACACCGGTGCAAAGTCAGAAATAGAGGAGCGCGATGGATTCCGGACGTTGTACAAACCTTCAGAGTTCTATGGACAACTAGCCAAATTGTTTGGAAAACTGCGGCAAGGCCTTGGTTCTCAACTAGATCGGTGGGTGACCACTCTGAAATGTACTCAAGCAGTTCATTATGACATTTCATACTTGCTAAAATTTCGGTGCTGTTCAACTATTACTACCCCAAAAAACCTAGTTTTTTGCCGAGATTTTGCTCAAGAGTAACTCGATGAACTGATCACGAAGGTAGCATTAGTGCTTGGCGCTGGCGTCATTTGGCTTCAATTTGGCGCCACCGATTTTCCCACCAGACTCGAATTAATCCTGCATGCTGGGGTATTTGGTGTCCCGATCATAAAACTTTTATTCGTTTCTCCTGAAACGCTAACCGTCTGCTATACAGACGATGGCACCATGCTTGTTCTGACCGAGGCGCGTGAAGCGCGGGCTCCTAGATGTTTCGTGCCAAGAGCTTGTTAGTTGGTTTGAGGAACAAGGGATTCGAAACAGTATCTTTTCTGGTCGCCTGCGCTAGTAATCCTTCTCTTCGTCAGGTTCGGCCCTAGCACAGGAAGGAATCACTATCCCGAGGAAAGGTGCAGACAAGCGCAGTATGCTGCGCGGCCACGTGCACCCCTTTCGTCCATCCCTAATGTGATATTCTGTTCAGGAAGTGCAACTACCCCTGCGACTACCTTTTCAGCGTACTTGGGATTAGAGTATTTTAGCGCCTGCGGCGCGGGAGCCAGGCGGTTTCAGGTGGTAGAATGTGATATTTGTGTTCAGATTACCAAACTGACCCTCGGAAAATAAATTTCTAGCCAGATATGCTCTCTCAAAAAAAATCGACAAAAATTGGCATGATATCCAAACATTGAAGTAGTAATAATTGAATAGTGCCGAAATTTACTATGTTGTGCAACACTAGGAGATAAGGCAGCACAATATTAGAATAATTGTGAGATTTTTTCCTGTGAATATGTTTCTTAGGCAGCTTTTTCTTACACAAGTGTATTGCTCCATTATGTATCTACCCTGGAAGTAACTTGCTCTTGACCTGTACCAGTTTGAGCTTTATTTTCAGATATCTCTCCCTTCTGCGGCAGTTCTCGAAGCATTCGCTGAGCACTTATGAACTTTCAGTGGCTGTGGAAAAGCTCTTACCAAGAGACCTGCAAGTCATCCATGGTGAATTTGTACAAATTTTGTCGGAATCATGTCAGCTGGTAAGTTCTTCTTTACTTCTTCCAACAGTTCTATCGTGGAAATCAATGGAAAATCAATTTTGTTCAGAGTACAGTTTCGAGATCGGTTGAGGACATTCTTATGGGAAAGAAAAGTCGAGAGTTAAAGGTAATTTGGCTCTTATTTGCATCCTTTCATCAGAATTTATTGCGCGGTTAGCGTGAAAATGGTCATGGAAGTTGGGCTGAATTGTTGCATCGTTTCAGTTACTTTCATTTGGAGTGGGTGTGGAGGGAACGCTGCTATGTTCGAGTACTACTCCTTTGTATTTTGTATCGGCTGCTCCGACAATTAAACCCCTTTCATAGCATAAAACCCTGTGCCACATCCCTTGGACCACAACACTCTCTCGAAATGGAACAGAACATGCTCGAGCAGTCGGCATCACACTAGCTATCACTCACCCACCTTGCATTTGCAGGCCACAATGTCGCACAATTTCCACTGTGACAAAATGTACCTGCGCCACTGCCTGGTTTTGCTTCACGATTCACAAAAAAACTGTGAGGAAGCGGCAGTGGGTCGACAAAGGAGAACAGCCAGAAGCCACCCCAAAGGCCGACCTTCACCCCAAAAGGTTCTCCTGTCCTGTTGGTGGTCCAGAAGAGGCATGGAGTACTGGGAGCTGCTGGAGAAGGGACAGACGATTGACGCTTCCACATACGTTACCCAGCTGCGGAAATTGAAAGATCACGTCGACCGTACTCGTGGAAATGCGGAAATCTACTTCCACCATGACAACGCCCGACCTCACACTGCAAAGGCGACCCAGGCCGAGCTGGAGAAGTACGGATGGCTGATGGTCGCCCACCCTCCCTACAGCCCTGACCTCGCTCCTTCTGACTACTGGCTGTTCAGCCACCTGCAGCGCTCTCTGGACGGAAAAAAGTTCGAAACAAAGGATCAGGTCAGAAAGGCACTCGACGACTTCTTCAAGTCCCAGTCGTTCTGGAAGGAAGGAATCGACAAGCTGCCTGAGCGCTGGCGTCGAGTAGTGGATGGTGATGGTGCATACCTCTAATCTTCAGGTTGGTTCGCTATTGAGATATTTACGAAAAAGTCGTGGCTAAGAACTTATGCACCAACCTAATATTTCGTTATTTAGCGCGCTTCCTACTGATAATGAGTTTTTCGAGCACATCTTCGAAAGTGTTGAATGAATCAATAAATCCAGTTTCTATTTATTCCCTCAACTTCTTTTCAGAGAGGTCATATTCCGCATATCTCATCGATCAACGCACTGCTTATACTGCGCAGCCTCGAGAACGGATGGGCAGCTCCCGACTCAACAGCTGGTCAAATTATTGGCGAAGCTGTGAAAGTTGGTTCACTTTGACCTTGGCCGCTTTTGAATTTCGAAAAGCGCCGCTTATTGAACACGTTTTTGCACTTTGTCTGTTTTCAGACAATGTTAGCTGATCGAATCGATGCTGCAGTACATGTGCGTAAGAACCCCTCTCTGAATGGAATTGGATTCCGCAGTGACTTTCAGCCACTTTTTAGTAATGGGTGAGTCACTGCGTGTTCATTGATAATACAAGCGTTGAATACGCTAGTTTCCAAGATGAACTGTGTTCAGCAATTGACGAAACATTCTCTTCACCAAAATCACTCACAAGCCAGACCTCTTTGAGTCGTTCACGGTGTGTTCATTTCGTTCTTTTTCTCTTAAAGACAGTTTCCGCGATCAAGAGGTCCGTGGAAGGCCTCCGTGCATTTGGCATCGTTGTCCGCCTTCATAGAGAACGCACTACTTTCGTCACTCGATATTTAAGAAAGCTTGAGACGCGTGATTATTGCAACCCTTTGCAACCCCCATGTACCTACTTTCACTCTGCAATAGAACGGCTTACAAGCGGAAATGCGTGTACATAGCGTTGCCAGGAGTGTCGTAGGGTGATTTCCTGTGCTCTGGCCGACAAGTGGTTGCACTTCAAATCCTGCCTTGCCCGTGGGATTGCCGACTTCCGACAAACTCATACAAGGCGCCTATTGCTAGGGGATGGTCTGTGCTCACCTCAGGATGCTCCCAAACTTTTTCTCGCTTCTTTCTCACTGGAGAGTTACTTATGGGCTACTGGTTCATGGTTGAGAAACCTACTTCGACACACTGATTCGCGGACCTGTCTTTAAGATGTGAAGTTCAATCAGTAGGCACCAGTGAGGAATATTTTTTCGCTTAGATTCTATTCGTTTCCAGAACTCCAACCACTTTCTTGGTGCAGAGACACCAAATTTAGCTTCGGATGAAGTGCCAACTCTGATTCCTAACGAAGAAAGCTGATTAATCGACACTTGTCAAAATGAACGAACAACTAGGTGGACAAACGATGCCTGCGAACAGTTCTTTGGGTTGAGATCCCGCAAAGCGAATGTGTCGAAGAAGTCACAGTTTTTGAAAGCTTTTGTAACGTTAGCTGTGTCGCAGCCTATGCGAACATTTCTATTCCTACAGTTAGCAACTTTTCTGTGTTCTCTGGACCTAGGACCTGCATCTAGGGCTAAAATGTCAACGACAGTGCGGCCGAAGACTCAAGTCTCTCGACGTTCTCCTTCAAGAGTTCACTGGGATTCAGATATCACAACCATCAGCGATACGGAACATTACACTTCTGTGTTGACTTCCTCCTCAAAAGACAAGCGTATGAAGCGTAAAAGGATGGACGCTTCAGAGTCAAGCCCAGATGAAGTGTCGATTATGAAAGTGACTTCCCGAAAATCTGCGAAACTGGAGTCAGGTGCCCAGTCTCCCACTTATGTGAATCTTTCCTCAAGTGAGAGCGTATCGGATGACACTGAGGTAACACCAACAGTGAAGCGCCATTCCATTTCCCCCACCCTGACTGGCCGAAAGTATCGTTTTCCATTACATTCGGAGCTATCCGCAAGAGACAGGAGTTTGAGAGCTGGCCATTCAAAGGTCTAAAAAAGTTGTCACTATCGAGATTTCTTCAGACGAAGATATGGTGGATGAAGAAGAACCGTATACAATACCAGAAACGCAACTTGCAAGTGAGTCTAGGAAGCTGATAAAGACGATGGAATCTTCTATTTCGAAGCCACGTAGCCGTACAGCTCATCCGGTTAAGCCTGCTGCAGTATCCTTGCTTGATAAGGGCGCGATTCAAAAGGCTCAGGCTATAATCGAAGCCTGGAGATCGTCCTCCTATGAAGTTGTGCCCGACGAAATTGACTTTTCCGCTATTGAAAGTACGGTACATTCAAAAACCGCTGCTTCGAAATCGAGGCGATCACTGTTCAGTAGTA